TATGGTATTATAACTTATAAGTTATAACAGCAGGTTGGTCTAGTAATTCCAAATATGCTTTTCTAGGAGCACTACGATCTGATCCTCAAATGGTTTCTTAATAAAATTCTTATGCTTTCAGCCACTCAGCCATACCTCCCGGGAAAAATGGGATTTGAACCGGCGACTTCTGGCGTGACAGACCGGTTATGGGAAGGCTTCTCAGTGGATAATGCAACCCATTTCGGGTTTGAAGCTGCCGCTTGGTATTGGCATTTTGTTGATGTGGTTTGGTTATTTCTATTTGTATCTAGTATCTATTTATTGGTGGGGGGGTAATTAACACTTAAACCCCTTTGTCTGATGGAGTTCCTGGTAATTCTTTTTTGTTTTTTCTTTTCCTTTTTCATTCAAATGCTAATTGTTTTTACTATTTTGGATGCACCTGCCCTTTTTCTCTCTTCTTCATCTGTATTCTGTATTTTTTTGTGGGGACTTTGCATTGGCGGAGATGGCATGTGCGATGGACTGGTCGTTTACTCACCAAATCTGCTTTTTGCAAGGAATATGAGTGAGACCGATAAACAGAAATCCAAATTGCAAAATCACGAAGTAGCCCGGATAGTCATGTACTAAGCAAAGAGCACAATGCACCAAGATACCGTCCAAATAAGAGCAATACAATGAGCTCGTATGTCAATGTCGCCACTCTCTGGTCACACCGACACAGTATCCAATGTCGCTCCTATTGTCTGGCGCCCAGCGCCCAGCCTACACTACTCAGCCTATCTAGCCTATCTACGTTCATGCAACCGGAGCACATCGAAGTTGAAGACCAATGTACGTGACATCATCACCAATGCAGACCGCCAGCACACATCAGGTATGTGTCTCACACCACTCCTCATCACCCCCTGTCTCCCCTCTGAATGCGCCTCCTACCCAAAGATCACCGTCACCATCACCAGCCACCGCGAGTACAGCCCGGCTATGGCCGCCGTGCGCCCGCTGCCACCGCAGCGCCCTCTCACCTCTAAGCGCCCGTGTGCGCCCCAGCCTGGCAGTGCTAAACAGCGCTCACGCGACACAGCAGCAGCGTGGCCGCAATGCCTCGGCAGGCCAGAATGCCGTCCCCTGGGCTCTCACTTTCCTATACGGAAAGTGTGCTCTGCCGCTGGCTGTCCTGGGCCTGGCGTGTAGGGGCCCAGTACCTTCCAGTTGGCCCAAAGTGTCTGCGCCCAGGCCCAGTTTCAGACACTGGCCTGGGCCTCGTGCAGTTAGGCATGTCCAGTAGCCCTCCCAGGCTACAAGTGTTCGGCGCAATCTCATTGGCCCGCTGCTTGTGTGAGACGCAGGAGCTGCTTTCTCATTGGTCAGCGGCCACTTGGTGATGTGTCGGCCTCTCACTGCATGTGCCCAGGGCGCAACCACCTGAGCCCCGGGCTCAACTGTACAGCGCAGCTGTTGCTTCTGGAAGGAGCCACAGAAGGCTCACGTTGCTCTGTAACCAACTGGCATGCTGCAACTGTCTGATACCCCACATACGAAATTTCGAAAACAGGCCTCACCGGCCCTCACGTGGATATGCCTGCCCGTCTTCACTTAGGGTGGGCATGAGACTTGCTGAGGGTCTAAGCCCAGAACGTTTGCATGCCCCTGAAGGGCCTTTGCGGGGCTCAATCCTCGCATTTTGCTTTAGCTGGGCTCAGCTCGTACCATTTCTACTCTTTACCTTAGTGTCTATGCAAGACGATGGGCATAGGCTCACCTTTCCCTAAAGGTATAGGTTAGGGTTTAGTGGCCCAAGCTTGTCTTTGTTGACTTTGAAGTTGCTGATTGTTGTATAAAGTGTCATCCATCAATGTTGATGCTCATGATGTCAATGTTGATGCTCATGATGTCAATGATGATGATGACGATGTTGATGTTGATGCTAATGATGATGATGTTACAGAATCCGAGGACGGAGGTGATGAGGTGCTGCAGCAAATGGTGGAAGGGAGGAAAGGTCCGCTTCATGACGCTGTGCAGAGATTGGGTCCGGGGAAGCCGGCAGAGGAGATAGTGGGTATATGCTATGCGCTGCGGGCGATGAAACATGCAGGCGGCCTGGTTCGAAGCAATCAAGCAGATGGCAGCAATGTGCCGCTTTCATTGTATGGTGGTTGGAATGTCTGGAATGATCAGACGCGCAGGTTTCGGACGGGCACAGAAAGTCAAAATCAGGAGGTTGGGGATCCCTTGCGACAGTCGCAGGCAGGGGGTCTTTTGAGACAGCTATTGGCAGTAGGAGGCCCTAAAGCGGTTCGGCTGGGGCAGGCTTTGCTCAGCTCCCTGACAAGCAGGAGGTCAGACGTCCTTTGCAGGCCACAGGACGACACTGAAAGCGACGGCAAGGATGAGTGTGTGCCAACAGAGCGGTTCAGGAAGAAAGATAGGACCTTGATCGGGGGTATGATTGAGCACGGAGGACCTGTCGGCCTCAAGGTGGCAGAGGTGATGCTCGATTACTTCTGGTGGTTCTTTGGCTGGACGCGTGGTCTTTGGAAAGACACGTGTGTAAAAGCTCCGCTGAAGATGGGCGAGTGTGTGGAGTGTCCTCGGAAGAAGGGTAAACTTAAGAAAGAGGGCCGGATACTGAAGATTGTCTCAGAGATGCATTTGATGGGGAGACTAGTCGTCTTGGGAGGGTTTCGGGCTGTGGAACTAAGCGAGGAGTTGCTCGAGGGCATACGACTGGGTAACATCTCGAAGCAGAGAGTGCAAGTGCTTCTTGCGACGGTCATGAATCTTACGGGCAGGCCTGGGCTGATACTTGCTTGCCAATTGATTGGACGGCTGAATGAGCAGGGTGGTAGCTTTATCCGCTCGTGCGACGTTTCGTCAGACTGGTGGTCGTTGGATGAAGATAGGAGTTTGATTAGTTGCCTGCAACTCCTTGGTGGTGAGCACATCGCAAAGGTGGGGAAGCACCTGGCTCAGGGGGTGCACCTCTTTTCTAAAGAGGAGCAGAATGCGATGCTCGGTGAGTTGTATGAGGTTATGGGGTCATTAGGACTGGAGATTGGCGAACACTTGCGATTGAGAGGTCTCCAGTCGGAGCAGCACAAGCGGGGACCTCTGGACCAGGAGATAGTTGTCCTGGGAAAAGAATCTCAGGACCAGAAGTTGGTGATGGAAAGGGTCAACGATAACAGGTGGAAGGAAGAGCGGTACCTGATGATTGTGAAAGAGAGGCGGCACGACAGATTGGTCACAAAGCTAGAAGAGGCAAGGGATCGAGGTGGGCGCGATGCCCTTGTACAGGCTGTCTTCTCATTGACGAGGGAAGAAGCGGATGCCATCGGAGAGTACTGGTACTTGCCAGACATGATCATGAAATGGGTGTTCAACCAAAGCTGGAAGAAAGTCAGGCATACTCTTGTGGATAAGGTTTTGGATAAGGGTTTTGACAATGATTGTGGTGGCAGGAAATCCCGCGCTGGAGGGTGGGGAAATGGAGGGGGGACAAAGGATAAAACACTGGATGCAGCTGCAAGCAACTGCAAGGAGTACGCGTACATATCCGAGATCTTGCTTCGAACTCTGGAGAGGTTCCGCCGTCGACAGATCTGTCGACTGCTCGATCTGCTCCAGCTGAAGTTTGAGGTATCAGTGAAGGACCTAAATTCAGCGTTCACCTGGCCCAGCAGTGGCGGGGAAGTCTCAGAGGCGTCGTCAGTTCAAGGAGAGCAGGCCACCGCTTGCAGAACGATAGTCCTGATGTTGGATGGGCGGAATGCCGAGGCTGGACCCCAGTGGTTCAATCAGAAGTTTAAGCAGCTGGGCAATTGGGACTATGAACCATCGGTGGTTTTCGATGTGCATGTTTGTGTGAGGAAGTTGATGTTCAATGTGCGACGTCACGCTTTGCCCAGATGGACCAGAAGGACCACATGGAGAAGGTCTGGGCTTGAGCTATGTCCAAAGCACAAAGTCGATGCCCGTCACACGGAAGGTCGAGATGATGCACTCGCGGAGTTCGAGGATGGGGATGGAGGAGGAGACGGAGGCACCTTGCTTCTGTCCAAAGATTACTTTGATCAGAAGGGCTGGGCATTTGCAAGACTACGCCTTTTCGCAACCAAACCCCTCTGGGAAGCGTTTACCCAAGGCGTTCTATTTGGCCTCGAGGGAGCTGTGGCTGGTGGATTCCCAGGGAGGGTGGTGCTTGGCCTCCGTTTGTTCGAGCTTGCCAGAGTCAGGTGCGAAGAGTTCATGAGGCGAACGACAACTAAGATGGAACAGCTTCTGGTCTGCAAACCGAAGGAGGGACTGGTGTCAGATGCTTTCCCGTTTAGACAACCTGCAGAGCATAAGGGACCCAGAGCTTCCAGTGGGAGTTCTCAATTGCCGGACTCCTCATCTGAGTCAAAGTACTCCTTACTGTCAGCCTCATACTCTTCAGCCTCATTGGATGATGCATCCCCCTTGCATCGACCCTCAACTCTTCAGCACCAGGGGGGAGCCAGAGCCGGCAGTGATAGCTCTCGATCTCTGTATTCATCTCCGGAGTCCAAGTATTCTGTCCAGTCAGCCGCAAAGTATGTCTCCAAGTCAGCTGCACGCTCTTCAGCCTCACGGGAGAAGGCCTCCCCCTTGCATCAATCATCAACACGTTCTTTATCCGACTTGTCCTCAACGTCCTCTCCTGCTTCTTCCTCCTCTGGATCTTCCTTGTCAGATTCTGGGGCAGACGAAGACGAGAGGGTGAGATGGCGGGTGAAGGAGAACGAGAGACGAGAAAGGGAGGATGCCAGCCGCAGAAAGCTGAAGAGAAACAAGGAGGGAGAGATGAGGAGGGAAGAGGAGGAGGGAATGAGGAAGAAGCGAGAGGAGGAAGTAACGAGGAAGGAAATAATCAGGAAACAGCAGGAAGCTGAGAGGATGAAGCAAGAGGAGGACGCACGGAGAAGAGAAGAGCAGAGAAAGATGTCAAAGAGGAAGGCGAAAGAAGAGATGCTGGTGAAGGAAGAGGAGGAAAAAAAGAGGAAGAAGCAGGTGGAGAAATTGAGGAAAAAGCAAGAGGAGGAGGAAATGAGGAGAAAGCAAGAGGAGGAGGAAATGAGGAGAAAGGAGGAGGAGGAGGAAAGGAGGAGAAAGGAGGAGGAGGAAAGGAGGAGAAAGGAGGAGCAAATGAGGAGAAAGGAGGAGGAGGAGGAGGAAATAAGGATGAAGAATGAGGAAGAGGCACGAAGGATAGCAGAAATAAGCAAGGAACGTGAAGAGGCAGAGAGGAGGAAGCAAGAAGAGGAAGCCAAGAGGAGAAGACTATATCAGGAAAGTATGAGGAAGAAGGAAGAAGAGGAGAAAAGGAGGAGGAAGCAAGAAGAGGACGACAAGAGGAGAAGGTTAGATCAGGAAAAGATGTTTAGGATGCGGAGGAAGGAAGAGGAGGAGAAAATGAGGAATAAGCAAGATGCGGAAATGAGGGAAAAGCAAGAGGAAGAGATGAGGAAGAAGCAAGAGGAGGATGAAATGAGGAAGAAGCACGAGGAGGAAATAAGGATAAAACATGAAGAAGAGGCAAAAAGGAGGGAGGAAACAAGTAAGAAATACAAGGAGGCTGAGAGCAGGAATCAAGAAGAGGAGGACATGAGGAGAAGAGACCAGCACAGAAAGATGTCAGAAAGGAAAGGGAAAGAAGAGATGCGGATGAAGGAAGAGGAGGAGAAAATGAATAAGAAGCAAGAGGAGGAGGAAATGAGGAGAAAGCAAGGGGAGGAGAAAACGAGGAGAAAGCAAGAGGAAGCGATGATGCAGCTGGGGTCCGTCTCGAGAGCCGCAAAGAAAGATAGGAGAAGGGAACAGCAGAGAGAGATGTCAAAAAGGAAAGGGGAAGAAGAGATGCAGATGAAGGAAGAAGAGGAGAAAATGAGTAAGAAGCAGGAGGAGGAAATAAGAAGGAAACAAGAGGAGGAGGAAGCGAGGAGAGATCAAGAGGAGGAAACGAGGATGAAACATAAAGAAGAGACAAAAAGGAGGGAGGAAACAAGCAAGAAGTTTGAGGAGGCAGAGAGGAGGAGGCAAGAAGAGGAGGACATGAGGAGAAGAGAACAGCAGAGAAAGATGGACAAGAGGAAAAAGGAAGAAGATATGCGGATGAAGAAAGAGGAGGAGGAAATGCGGAGAAAGCATGACGAGGAGGACATAAGGATGAGACATGAAGAAGAGGCGAAGAGGAGGGAGAAAACAAGCAAAAAATTTGAGGCAGAGAGGAGGGATCAAGAAGAGGAGGAAGTGAGGAGAAGAGAACAGCAGAGAAAGATGACAAGGAGGAAAGCAGAAGAAAAAATGCTTATGAAGGAAGATGAGGAAAAAATGAGGAAGAAGCAGGAGGAAATTAGGAGAAAGCAAGAGGAGGAAATTAGGAGAAAGCAAGAGGAGGAAATAAGGAGAAAGAAAGAGGGGGAGGAAATAAGGAGAAAGCAAGAGGAGGAGGAAATAAGGAGAAAGCAAGAGGAGGAAGAAAGGAGGAGAAAGGAGGAGGAGGAGGAGGACATGAGGAGAAAGGAAGAGGAGAAGGAAACGAGGAGGAAGGAGGAGGAGGAAGAAATGAGGAAGAAGCAAGAGGAGGAAAGGAGGAAGATGCAAGAGGAGGAAATGAGGAAGATGCAAGAGGAGGAAATGAGAAAGATGCAAGAGGAGGAAATGAGGAAGATGCAAGAGGAGGAAATGAGGAAGAAACACGAGGAAAAGGCAAGGGGGGATGACATAAGCAAGAAACGTGCGGAGGCAGAGAGGAGGCAAGAAGAGGAAGGGATGCGGATAAGAGAAGAGAAGAGAAAGATGTCAAAGAGGAAAGAGGAAGAAGAGGTGCAGAAGAAGGAAGAGTATGAGAGAATGTGGAAGAAGCCAGAGGAGGGAGCATTGAGGAAGAAGCAGGAGGAGGAGGAAATCGGGACAAAGCAGGAGGAGGAGGAGATCGGGACAAAGCAGGAGGAAACCTCAAAAAAGCACGAGGAGGAGAAGATGGCGATGAAAGGCGAGGAGGTGGAGCAGGCAAGACCGAGGGAGGAGATAAGCAAGAAACATGAGGAGGTGGAGAGGAGGAAGGAAGAAGCGGAAGATGTGAGGAAGAAGCAAGAGGGGGAGGAAATGGGAGAGAAGCAAGTGGAGGAACCAATTGGGAAGGAGCAGCAGGGAGAAATAAGGGAGGAAGAGATGGGTTACGAACAAGGGGAGGCAGAGACGAGGACGAAGCCAGAAAAGGAGGAGATATGGAAGAAGCCAAGCGAGGAAGAGGTAGAGAAAAGAGAGGACAAAAAAGAGACATGGAAGAAACAAGGCAAGGAAATTAACGAAAAGCAAGAGCCGGAAATGAAGAAGCAAGAGGAGGAAATGAGTGAGAAGCACAGGGAGGAAGTGAAGCAAGAGGAGGCAATGGGGGGGAAGCACGGGGAGGATGAAACGAGGGAGGAGGAGATAAGGAAGAAGCAGGAGGGAGCAGAGAGGAGGAAGCAAGAAAAGGAAGAGATGGGGATGAGAGAAGAGGAGGAAGAGATGGAGCAAAGAAATGACGATGAGGCGGAGCACGGGGAGGCGGCGGTGCCGAGGATGAGAGAGTTGGAAGAAATGACAGAAGTGGAGACAAGGAAGAAACAAGAGGAGGCAGAGATGATGAAGAAAGGAGAAGAGGAAGAAGATACAAGGAAGGAGCAAGGGGAGGAGGAGGGGGTGAAGGAAAGGGAGAATGAGAGCAAGGTGACGGAAGAGCAAGAGCGGAGGGAAATGGGGAAGAAACATAAAGAGAAAAAAAGGGAGGAGAAACAGGAGCAGGAGGATATGGGGGAGGAGGAGATGTGGAAATGGGAAGCGGAAAGCTCAGAAATGGCGGTATCATGCAAACATGTAGAGGAGGAGCAGGATGTAAGGCAGGATATAGATCAGGATATGGAGCAGCAGGTGCATCAGCGCAAAGATGGAGCACACGGTATGGATAATGTTGCGGATGATCAAGAGCAAATTGCCCTCCAAGATGATGATCAAAGTGTGGCCAAGTATGGAGTTGTGCAGGAGGAGGGTGTGGAATTGGATGTGGATCTGTTATCAGAACCAGACTGGAACACTGAGCATACCATGGATGAGCATGAGGAGGCAGTCGGCAGAGATGGTGGTGAGGCACACATCGTGCCTGACAGTGGTGATGACGTACCAGTTTCCCAAGGAGTACATGATGGAGAGGAGAGGTACACCACTTATTATAATGAGCTTTACGAAGAGAAGGACACAAGGGAGGAGGAGCAGTTGGAGGCCGAGAGGTCAGATACGGCACCGGACCAGCTGGTTGAGGGTGGTGGAATTGGAGAAGTGGAAGCAGTCGATCAAGTTAAAGAGGGGCATGATCAAGCCATGACATATTACTATGCACCCGAAACTGCCTCTTATTATGAGGATTTGCCAGAAAAGGAAAGAGTGTGTAGGGAAGATCAACCCCTGGAAGTTGGTGACATTAAGGGCTGGCATGATGGAGCCGTGGCAGATCATTATGCAACTGAAACTGGCCTTCATGAGCACTTGCCAGAAACGGAAACGCTGTCTAAGGAAGATCAACAACCCCAGGTAGTCGGCGACGTTAAGATCTGGCATGCTGAAACCGCGGCAGGTTATTATGCAGCTGAAACTGGCTGGTATGAGGATCTGCCAGAAAAGGAAACGCCGTCTAGTGGAGATCAACCTCAGGCAGCCGATGACATTAAGGAAGAGGAAGGCCCGAGCTCTGCAGATTATTACTACGAAAGGACGGAAACTGACCATCGTGAGGATTTGGCAGTAAAGGAAACAACATGCACGGAAGGGCGACTTGAGGCAGTTGCTGGAGACTGCAATGAGAAAAACATGCTGGGGAGTGTTGATGGCAGACGAGCTCTCCAAGGAGGTGGTGATGCATACGAGATGTACGAGCAGTCTTGTGACGATTATGGCACACAAACAATCGCAAGGGAGCAATTGGAAGGAGAGAGCGGGGGTGGTAGTGTCGGAGAAGTGGAAGCTATCGATGATGTTTATGGACCGCATGATACCACCAGTGATTATTATTATTCTCATGAGCATTCAGAAGAAATGGCAGCGAACGAGGAGGAGCGAGAGACGGCGGTGATTGGAGAATGTACGATGGAGCAGGCGTTGATGAGTGGTGATGCTGGAGCGGCCCGTCATGTGCGGAACGGCGGCAGCAATTTGTATATGCATATTATGCAACATGAAACGGAGGATTATCGCACCGAACAGCAGCACATGGTGAGCAAGGAAGAAGCATTGATGTTGGAGAGTGAAGGTGCCCAGCAGGAGCCTATGGAGTGTGTTGGTGTAGGAGAACAGGAAGTATGTGATCCTAAGAGAGGAGCTGCGGAAATGAAGGATATGTATTTTCCAGAGATTCAGATGGTTAGGACAGATGAGGAGGGTCAAGCAGCAGTGATGAGCAGAGATAGTTCCCAACTACAGATGGTGAGGGGTTCTGATGATGGAGGAGCCGAAGTGGTATGGGGAGGCCGCGTGGAGGAGCCACAGCACCCTTATAGGTGGCCAATGGAAGAGGGAGAGGGAGATACGCACTACCAACTTGTGGTAGAGAGTGAAGCACATGATGAAAGAGACAGATGGAAACAGATGATGGACTCTGATGTTGAAGGAGTAACTGGAAGCGTAGTTGATGTTGGGGAGGGCGGAACTTGTATGGCAGAATTGGTTCCAAGGGACGACGAGGAGCAGCACATGCTGGAAGGTGGGTATAGTCCAGCAGAACACAGTGTAGACGGCGGCGGCGATGATGGGGGAATCGGTATGCAAGCTGATGTTGAGGAAGTGGGTGGTGAAACTTCTGTGCCGGGTAGTGACAAGGATCACGTCGAAGAAGTTTCAATGAAGATGCAGTATGAGGTGGGAGATAGTTGGAGCCCACAGGAACAGATGGTGGGAGGTGATGATGGTAGAGGAACAGAAATGCCAGGATATGCAGAAACGATGACCCTCAGAACTGAAGTTGAACTGGAGAAAGCTAGGTGGAAAGACTATTCTGGGATGGCCGCGGAAGAACAGGGGCGGGAATTGAAATCTGAGAGCCCGCGTAGTTTGCAGGAGCAATTAGATGAGTGGGGCAGGGAATCCGTACATGAAGCAGAATATGATCATAAGGAGTGGGAGTACGTCCAAAGAGACACAGGGGGAGACGTAATCTTACAGGTTCTGAGGGACGAGGGGCAGTACGAGATGGAGGGTGAAGGTAAACCACGGGAACGGAGGATGGGTGAAGGGTACAGCGAGGCAATCGGAATGAATATAGGTAATGTTGAGGAAGGGGGTGGTGAAGCTTTTGCACAGGGTCGTGACAAGGACACACTTGAAGAGCTTCCATTCGAGGAGGACATTTTGGCCGATGCAGGTAGTCTGCAGGAGCAGATGATGGCCAGCGGTGATGATGAAGAAGGAATGATGATGGCCGGTGGTGATGATGAAGAGGAAGTGGATATTCCCAGCTATGCAGAAAAGGTGAGCCCAGGAACTGAGGTTGAAGGGGTTGGATTTTATGGCTACGGCACTTCAGGGAGAAGTGAGGAAGGACATGGGAAGGAACTGGACGTGGCAATCGGAATGAATATAGGTAATGTTGACGAAGGGGGTGGTGAAGCTTTTGCACAGGGTCGTGACAAGGACACGCTTGAAGAGCTTCCATTCGAGGAGGACATGGTGGCCGATGCAGGTAGTCAGATGATGGCCAGCGGTGATGATGAAGAAATAATGATGGCCGCCCGTGGTGATGATGAAGAGGAAGTGGATATTCCCAGCTATGCAGAAAAGGTGAGCCCAGGAACTGAGGTTGAAGGGGTTGGAGCTTACGGCTACGGCACTTCAGGGAGAAGTGAGGAAGGACATGAGAAGGAACTGGACGTGGAGGATCAGCGCAATGTAGAGGAGCAAGTAGATGAGGAGGGAAGAGAATCGGAAGAGAGAGGCAGCCCCCAGGTTGGAGTGGAAGATGGTAAGGAGAGGGAAGATGATCAAGGAGACACAATTGGAGATGTAAACATGGAGGTCCCAACAGAAAAAGCATTGGAGATGCACCAGGAGGAAGGAGGAGGTAGTTCACAGGGACAGAGCATTGGAGATGTAAGCATAGAGGTTTCGATGGAAAGCGTGGGGCAGTACCAGATGGAAGGTGCAGAGAGTTCCCGGGAAGGTCCCCAGGAAAAGGGGATAATTGGTGATGACAATCGAGGAGTTGGAGGGGTAACTAATGTTGAGGAAAGGGGAACTGGAATCAGATTGGAGGAAGCGGGAACTGGAATGAGAGTGGAGGAAGCTGAAGGCAAGGAGTCTTCAGGGATAAGTGAGGAAGGACAAGGTCAGGAATCACAGGAGAGGTTTGTGCACACTGTGGCCGCACCATTTGACGAGAGGGACAGAGAATCCACGGAAGGAAGCATCATGTTTGGAGCAGGAGATGAGGAGGAGGAGGAGGAGGAGGAGGAGGAGGAGGAGGAGGTGCATGCCGAAGGAGATACAAGTGGAGATGTAAGGACAGAAGCTGCCAAGGATGGAGGAGACAAGGTGTGTATCAAGATTCTTAAGGCCCTTTTGTTTTTGGAAGATGGCCATTCCTCCTATGCTATAGTCCTAGCAAGTGTCCCACTTAAAAATCCATTCTTCATGTCCAAAGTTTCTCCATACATGAATTGCAACCCAATGCGGTATCAAAAGATAAAGAAGAAGAAGGAAAGATGAGACGAGCATTAAAGATTAACAGAAAGACATAACACTGTCTCAACACCTTCCTTCCATCTCACCGACCCAAATATCAGCCTTTTCTTTTTCCCTTCCTCTTTTTTTTTTCCGAAAGCTTTGGACCATTTCTCAATTTATGTGTGTCATCCGTAAATGCGCAGGGGCCATTCTAATCTTCATTGTATCGTTCCAATTTTAATGGATGTGTTGGCAGACAACCCCAATTTCGTCTTTATTGAAGTTTATCCGTCAATGTAAAGTTGTGAACGGTAAATCTCAAAGTAACTAGGTCCAAGGATCAAATCCTGGCAACTACTTTCGATGAAACACGATGGAAAAACAATAAATCTTGAAGTAACCAGGTCCAAGGATCAAATCCTGACAACTACTTGGATGAAACACCATGAAAACCTCCCCTGTGCTCTCTTGGCATCTGCAGCGTGCCTCTAGCTGCCCTGGCCTAAAGCCAGGGCTATCTGGCTATTTTTCCTGTTCGGCTTGTGGGACCAGGCCGTGGCCTGACCCCAAGCCGTATATTCATTCAGTGCAGTCTAGTCCTGCCCGGTGTCAACCGGGAGAAGTAATCCACCGGCACGCCGATCGAACCCTGTGTGTCACCCTGCCTCTGTCACCCGCGGGAGGGATCTATCGGGGCTCCTGTAGTCCTGCAAGAAAAGAGTACTCCAAATTTCACACAATAAAAACTGGAGTCAACTGTAGACACAACAACAAAACACTCACAGATCTCCGCTTGGGAGGAACAAAACGTATATTTCCATTCAGTCCAAAATGATAGGGTTCACTGCACTACTCCCAACCCCAGAGGTAGATCTTGTGTCCAGTTCGAGGAAATCGGTCTGAGTCCCAACTGATCTCACCAACAACCTAGGACGAACCCTCCGGCCGACGGGGTGCCGCCTATAACGAGAACGTTGGTCCCATGGAACAGTACTCGAACTCTCCGTGTCTGAGGCAGATTGAAGGGCCCACCGAGACCACTGTTCACGTTCTATTTTCACCATGGGTCAACCTTGCCGCCTGTTCTCCCCGGAAAACAAGATCCCAGTGATCTGACTCTGCTCCCGACCACTAATCTCAAATGCCCGCTTGAGTCCGAAAAGAACCGACGTGAGCTCCAATGTTCAGCCCGGTCTCAAGTACTCTGGCTCGATCCGAAAGCCCCGGTCTCCTCATGGTCCCGGTCTCGCCCAAAGTCACGGTCTCGCCCAAAGACTCAGTCTTGTCAAAGCCCCGGCCTCGTCCGAAGTCACGATCTGGCTCGAAGCCTAGACCTGGCGGTCTGTCCCGTAGTTCCGATCTGGCTTGAGGTCCCGATCTGGCCCGAAAAGTCCCAATTTAAGTTCTGGCTCGCACCCGGAGCCCGGCCCCCAAGCCCCGATTCCCTCAGAAGCCCTGGTTCCGCCCAAAGTCTCGGTCCCGTTGCATGTCCGGTTGTGCCCCCAAAAGTTCCGTTCCGCCGGGTTGTCCCGATCGTGTACCAAAAGCCCCTTTCGTCGGGTTGCCCTGATCGTGCCCCCTTGCGAGTCACACGGTTGTGCCCTATCGCGGTGCACGAGCGAACGCCCGGTCACTTCCGCGGCCCGTTCCCAGTCCCGCGCAGGTTCGTGTGCTGACGCGCACTAGTACGTGCGGATGGGCGCGTTCCCACAGCTACAGTGTGCACCGCTATGCGCCCCTCACCTCGACAATGCGTGCATATGGGAGAGTGCGCGCGATCGCGTCCGACAGTGCGCGCATGCACGCAGCCGCCGTGTCCCGATCCCAACTCCGCGCGTGAACGCTCGTGTGCGCGTGGTAGTGCATGTGTATCCGCAGCTGTCCGCGTCCCTATCCTGGCCTCGCTCGTGTGCGCGCCTGTGCTCTCATCCGCACTTCCCCGATCCGGCTCTTGCGCGAGTGCGTGCATATGCGCAGCTGCACGCTGATCTGCACTTCCCCGATCCGGGGTCTACGCCCGTGCGCTGCTCTGCACACTCCCGATATGGGTTCTACGCCCGTGCTCGCATGTGTGCGCTGCACCCGTGGACGCGTTCGGGCGTGTGTGCATGGTCGCACGCCCCCGTGTGCTTGGGCTCCTTCCACGTGCAGCTATGGCGCGCTTGCCCCTGGCGCTCTCACGTTTTCTCCTTACCTCTTCTCGCACGTCTCCGTCCGTCTGGGCTGTCTTCCTCTTGGTGCGCCTGATTGTGCTCTCCTCCGAGCGTACTCCTCCGAGCGTGTGCGCAAGTGGGAAGTCCCCCTGTTCCAGGCTCCCGTAGTGCGCCCGTAAGTTCGCATGTTTGAATTGTCTCGTGCGCCCGTAAGCACGCATGTGGGAAGTGTCTCGTGCGCCCCTAAGCACGCATGTGGGAAGTGTCCCGATCCTGGGCCCGGTTCGGCTTTTATACTTTGCCGGGCCCTTTTCGAAGTGTGCCTCAACCCTCGCCTGCTGCAAGGCTGCCGACAACTTGCGGAAATTGACAAGTTCACGGCCCGAGGGCCCTTTTCTTGGCCTTAGGCCTCGCAGGCTCTCTTTCGACTTTACTTAAGGCCCGCGTGTCAAAGCCCCAAGCGGGCCCGAGTAGCAATTGCCCTTTGTATTGATCCACAATGAATTCCGGTGTCGGCCGCCACTTAGTTCACCCGAGGGCCCGTCTTAAAAGTCTGGCGCCCTCTCTTGTTCGGCCCATCGCCCGGTTCTTAATGCAATCTGGCTGTCCCGTTCCTGTCCTTCACCTGGAGCCCTCGGTACTTCCTTTGTTGTAGCCGCTCCTTTATGCCTTGGCAATGATATGCCTCAATAGTGCGCGCAAAGGGCGCTTACCCAAAATTCATGGATCTGCTTTTTTCTAACGCCTCGGTCTCGACACTGGTTGCGTGAATCTGATATCATATCTTTTGATGTCAGTTGCAATCCCGGGAGGCAAATTGACCAAACCCAGTTCGCCTCAAGTGCTATCATCAAGGAAGTAGAGGCGGCGTAAGGCTGGAGCCGCCCGACACCGTTACCACTGTCGGTACCAGTCCAGTCCAGTCAGTTCGCTGGGGTATACCCCAACTGCAGTCTGTTTTCAGGATCATTCTTCATTGGCACAGTTTGGAGTACATGTGTGTTGAGTCTGCGTTGGAGCTGCACTATCCCTTCCAGCTCCATCTCCATTTCCATCTCTCCCATCCTCATCCCTTCGTCTTGATCTTGACGAAGCGCCATCCCGGCGGGTCCGTCACATTGGTATCAGGGCGGGAACGATTCCGGCTCCCACCCATCTCTCCCCGCAAGGCAGCGCAAGCGCCACAATCCCGAACAGCGGGAAAAAACGGGAGAAACAGCGGTTGCGAAGGTGCCACAGCGGGAGAATCCGACGTGTGTTGGGCAAGGAAAAAGTCACACGTGTCTGCGCAAGCGCCAACGCCAAGGTCGTCGCATGCGCACACGCCCTACTGCCCTGTCCCATATTATACATATCAGGATCCGGGATGCATGTTGCTGTCAGGGTTTGAACCTGGACAGCTGCTGCTTATCGGCGTGCGTGGCCAATGCTATAACACACTGGCCAAAGCCACAATATGAGCTGAAACTGATGCGTGTTGGTGTTATAGAGTGCCACAACAACTATTTGCACCCCCGTCTCCCGTTGGCGAGCAGCGAGCGACACGACAGCTATTTGCGCCCCCTGCTGCCGCTGCGCATGTGACTGGTGGCTGGCTGCAGTGGCACATTGCGACTTGCAGAAGATCTCTTGAAGACCCTCTGGCTAGGTGGCTGATTATTATTATTATTATTATTATTATTTATATTGCTGCAGCGGCAGTTTGGCAGTAGTGAAGACCCCCCTGGCTAGGGCGCTACGCGACGGTGCAATCGGGGTAGCTGATCAAGATCTCAGCCAACCCTAGATTATTGTTATTCTTATTTTTCTTGCTGCAGCAGCAGGCTGCCAGCACCTTGAAGTCCAAGATCCTGTGGATCTTGGTGATCTTGTTTGCTCTTGGCCAACCAAGAGCTTGGTATCACCTCTCTTTCACTAACCTACTCTCCCACCCTCCCTCTCTCTCTCTCTCCCCTCCACCATCTAATCATCTTTTCTAACTCTACCACTATTCCCTCATCCTACCTCATTCTTTCCTTTTTTTCCCCCTACTTCTATCCTCTCCTTCCCACTGTTCTTTCATATCCTTACCTCTTCACTCATCTTCCACCATCTTTTTCTCCCCTCTCCTCCTTACTCACCCTCTTCCACTAATCTTTCCTTCACGTTCCCTCCCATTCTCTCACCCTCCTCTCCTCCTTTCCTCCCCCAACTACAACCCCATCATCTCCCCCACCTCCCACTTCAATCCTTTTTTCTTTCTCACCTATTTCTCTTTTTCTTCATCACTTTTTCATTCCCCGCCCCCCACCCAACTTCAATTTTTTCTGTTTTTCTTTTTTTGTCTTTCTCTTTGATTTAAATTTCGTATTTCTCTCCAAAAAAATTGAATGATCTTATCCTACTTTTTTTCTCACTTTTTGATTTATTTTGTATTTTATTTATTCTAAAATTTTGAATTTTTCTGAGGCACCTCTATATCTTGTTAGAACTTACTAACTTAGTCATTCTTGCTTTTGATGCACGTTTTGACCTCCTGGGGGTATACTTTTTTTCTCACTCTTGTTAATAAGATTTGTAAATCAGTGTTGTTTTTTTTTTTTGTATTTATTTATTCTAAAAATTCGAATTTTTCTGAGGCACCTCTATATCTTGTTAGAACTTAGTAACTTAGTCATTCTTGCTTTTGATGCACGTTTTGACCCCTTGGGGGTAACAAAGTGCTGCCGAAATTTTTGTTTTTTCTATTACGTCTTTTTCCAGCACAGTTCGATCCCGTGGGCGAAGTGAAGTGCTGGCCAAATTTTCTCATTTTACTTAGTCATTTTCTTTCACGGCACACTTCGACCCCATGGGGATAATGAAATGTCGCCGATTTTTTTTTTATCGGAAACTTAGTTTTCGCTTCACTTTCCTCCACCTCCTTATTTTACTTCATATTTTTATTTATTTATTTTTTTGAAAATTTTAATTTGCGGCATTTTAAAACTTAGTGTGCTTCTCTTGGTCTCTCCTTCCTCTTGGCACATTTTTGACCCCATAGGGGGTAGGGAAATGGTGACGAAAATTCCTATAAAGTAAGTATTATTTCACTCCTCATCTTTTGCTTTTTTTTTTTTTTTTTTTTTTTTTTATCTTTTTTTCAATCTTGAAATTTCACTATTTATTTTTTTTTCTTTCCCCTTCCCCTCCATGGTTGTTATTTTTTTTTCTTGATTAGATCGCCGCTACTCTACCCTAAGCCCCCAAACTTGGGTTATGTTATGACCCT